CAGCCACTATGGAGAACAGTATGGAGGTTCCTTAAAAAACTACAAATAGAACTACCATATGACCCAGCAATCCCACTACTGGGCATATACCCTGAGAAAACCAGAATTCAAAAAGAGTCATGTACCAAAATGTTCATTGCAGTTCTATTTACAATAGCCCGGAGATGGAAACAACCTAAGTGCCCATCGTCGGATGAATGGATAAAGAAGATGTGGCACATATATACAATGGAATATTACTCAGCCATAAAAAGAAACGAAATTGAGATATTTGTAATGAGGTGGATGGACCTAGAGTCTGTCATACGGCGTGAAGTAAGTCAGAAAGAGAAAGACAAATACCGTATGCTAACACATATATACGGAATTTAAGAAAAAGAAAAAATGTCATGAAGAACCTAGCTTTAAGACAGGAATAAAGACACAGACCTACTAGAGAATGGACTTGAGGATATGTGGAGGGGGAAGGGTAAGCTGTGACAAAGTGAGAGAGTGGCATGGACATATATACACTACCAAACGTAAAATAGATAGGTAGTGGGAAGCAGCCGCATAGCACAGGGAGATCAGCTCGGTGCTTTGTGACCACCTAGAGGGGTGGGATAGGGAGGGTGGGAGGGAGGGAGACGCAAGAGGGAAGAGATATGGGAACATATGTATATGTATAACTGATTCACTTTGTTATACAGCAGAAACTAACACACCATTGTAAAGCAATTATACTCCAATAAAGATGTAAAAAAAAAAAACCTACAATAAAAATTATTAAAGAAAAAGAAAATCATCATTTCATCATCCACGTTCAGGAACTGCAAAGCCTTTAAAAGATGAAGTTCAAACTCCAAAGTTGGCTTAATACCTTCCAAGTAGAATAAAATTATGATCTGTCTGATATTTTGCTTTAAGGATTTAGGTTTTAGGATGTTTCTAACAGATCTAAAAGAGATTACGTTCTCCAAAGAAGAGCAAAATAGGATGAACATATGTTTAGGTTTTGCACAGAAAGCCATCCGTTTGTGTTTATTCTCTTGAAGGTAATTAAGACTAGCCATTTAGCATTATTTTAGGAAGGGTAATTCAGCTTGCATTACCTTCACCTTGCAAAGGTAAGAGGGAGGTAAGAAAGAAGACATACTTCACTTTCAAAGTGCCCGTATTTCCCAACTAAGTCAGGCACCACACCTGACCAAACAAGATGGCTAGCAAACCCACCATAGTAAAAATACTAAATAATTGGCATTTAAGATTCAACTGGCACGTCAGCATTTCTCCTGATAATGATACTTTCCCTTCCAAAGTGTAACAGTTGGGCACTGAAAGAAATAACTTGGAGCTATTTAAAAGCCACGCTGACATACAAGTCTTTTTTTAATCCAAAAATTACTTGTACTCTTAAATTCAATAAATTAATCAGGGACTTCCCTTGGTGGTGCAGTGGTTAAGAATCCACCTGCCAATGCAGGGATCATGGGTTCAATCCCCGGTCCGGGAAGATCCCAGATGCCGCGGAGCAGCTAAGCCCGTGCGCCACAACTACTGAGCCTGCGCTCTAGAGCCCACAAGTTACAACTACTGAGCCCACGTGCCACAACTACTGAAGCCCACACGCCTACAGCCTGTGTTCCGCAACAAGAGAAGCCACCGCAATGAGAAGCCCGCAGACCGCAATGAAGAGTGGCCCCCGTTCTCCGCAACTGGAGAAAGCCCGCGCGCAGCAACCAAGACCCAATGCAGCCAAAAATAAATAAATTTTTAAAAATAAATTAATCAAGATGGGACTCTTCTAAGCTACATGTTACACTCCTGATCACGTTGAATATGAGCAAGAGTTTATGTTTTAAAGGTAGAAAAATTAAAACCTCAAAACCTTAGTGTTTCTACAGTGTTCTCCACTTGCTTCCTTTCACTTACTGAATGGATCTGTAAGTTGGTATAGACAATTTTTTTTTTTAAATCTAAGAATGGGCTGTTGCCATGTAACTTCCAGAAACACAGAGAAAGGCACACAGAAGCACCCTGATCCTTCCAACATCTCAAAGACCAACTGATTGACTTCACTATACAAGTACAGTGAAGGAAAGAGATCGATGGTTTAGGTAAAGGAGTCTGGAACCAGAGACTCAGTATCCTGTGAACACCCATCTCCATCTGTCTCGCGTGCTCTCACACAGATAACCCGGTGTGCAGCCCTCTGTGGCAGGCACCCTCTTAGATGGTTCCCAGTGATCCCCGCCTCCTGGAATTCATACCCTTGTAACCCCCTCCCCTAGAGCACGGGCTAGACCTAGTGACTTGCTTCTAGCACACAGGGCACAGCGAAAGGAACGGGATATCACTTCTGAGATTAGGTTACAGAAAGACGATCTTTCATCTTGGGTGCTCGCGCTTGCTTGCTGTAAGGGCGGCCAGCTGCCATTTGGGTGAGCTGCCTATGGGGAGACCCGTAGGACAGGGAACTGAGGGTGGCCTCCAGAGAACAGTCAGCAAGAGAGGCCTGCAGTCTAATAGCCACTGAAGAACTGAATCCTGCCAAACACCATGTGACTGACCTTGGAAGTGGATGCTCCCCGACTCAAGCCTCAGAGGAGGTTGTAGCCTGGCTGTCAGTGTGACTGCAACCTCATCAGAAACCTTGAACCAGAGGCACCCAGTGAAGCCACCTGGATTCCTGATCACAGAGACTGCGCGATAACAAATGGTTATTGTCTTAAGCCGCTAAGTTTGGGGGCAGTTTGTGCCTCAGTGATAGATAATTAACATGGCAAGTAAAACAAGAGATCAGAGTGGGAATGTGCTTGTCCAGAAGGAAGGCACCCTCAGGAATCTGGGACTCTCGTAAGCAGGAGGACGAACAGAGCACAGAGCACAAGGCTGGCGTGGGAGGAAGATGCAGAGGCGGAGGCAGTGCACGCAAATGGTTAAGACACAGTAAGGGCCACGGCTCAGACTGGGTTTCAGTCCTGGCTTTACTGCATCTCTTTGCATCACTTATTGAACCTCCCCAAGTTTCAGCAGTATCATCTAACAGTACCCCCCCTCATAGAGATAACACATCTAAAGTGCACGGAGCAGCCCCTGCCACAGAGTGAGTGGCTGGCAGTTATGAATGGGGCTGGACTGGAGAAGACGGCCTAATTCACTCTGAAGGGCTGTCTGTCTGCTTAGCGGGTTGGGGAGGCTGTGAACTTTTCCTGATGCGTTAACTGCCCGGGGCAGGTAGGGACTGCAGATGCAGCGCCGAGGAGGTGTCAACTTACTTCTTTAGGTGGATCATCAGGTACCGGAGGGTCTCATAGTGGGCAGGAGGAAGCAGCATCAGCACTTCGTGGACCGCTTCCAGCCTCTCATCCACACTGGAGATTTCTGTGAAGATCACACGTAATGAATATTCGTGCAGTGTTGAAACATTAAAGTTTTCAGGGAAGTAACAAGAAGTTTGGTTTGTTCAGGTTGCAGAAAAAGGGGCAGTCTACTAACATTTCACTTAAAATAATCGATGTGTTCCGTGTCTTGCTATATTCCAGAAAAGGCTTTGAGGCTGGGAACCACGTGCGTGTTGAACGTCCACTGACTGTGGCAGGAGGCTGCCCACGGTCCTTGCCCTCCAGAAACATGCAGCCCTGTAGATGCTTGCTGGTGGCACATGCACCGACTGTGCTTTGCCCATCTTCTGAACACTGGATTTGCTAGAAAACTCACTGTCCCCAGCTTTAGTTTAAATTGGACCACACTTGGGAGTGTTCTCTTGAAGTTGTCTACCAGCTCTTTCCGTGGCAGGCTTCCATGACGGAATACACTCTACAATGCAAGGGCACTGGCAGGTGAGCCAGCCAACTCGGTCTGCACTGATGGCACTTTTCACCAGAATGTTGGCATGGTTAAGCCCAGTGTGCCATCCAGGTTAGGAAGTAGATGGTAGGTACGTTAACAATGGGAGGAAGCATGCATGCTTCTGCCTTTTAGGACTCTGATAGGTATTGGCAGCCACTCAAAGAAAGCTCCCCTGGTCACTCCTCCTGGGGCAGAGGGCACCCTGCTGCCAGAACCTTCTCCCCCAAGACCACCAGGACCCAGGAAAGAATGCTCTCACCAGGGAGCAGGGCCACAGCTCATCTGGAAAGTACACCTTGCACTAATCCCAGCCTGCCCACATCTCTCCCCATCAGGCATCTTGTTATTATATTTAGCAACACATACTTTTAAAGGTTATATTTTTTTTTAAATAAAAAGTTCCTTAAGGTGTGCTTGACTTCTACGTCATTCATTCTAGCACCTAAAGCTCCCCTTCCTCACTATGCTCCTGGACAAAGTGTAGTGCAATTCCCCCCACACCCATATACACACTATGGTTCTCTCTCCTGACGGCGGTGACCCAAGTGCCAAACCCTGAATGAGCAGCTATGGACTAATGGAAGTCCAATGCTGACGTGCCATCCCTGGACCTGTGAGCTCAGCTCTCCAAGCCTAGCTTTCCTCCTCTGTACAATGGGATTAGAGTACATGATTCATCAGGTAGATGGGAAGATTAAACAAGAAGATATTGCTGAGAGTTCCTAGTATAGTAGTTGACACAGTATATTCTGGGCCTATTACTAATTTTAAACAGCATCAATGTGCAAAACTTGGGGTATGACTTTAATTGATTAGCAATGGGATTCTGCCTAATAGATGAAAGTAGTTAATCTATACAGTCCTCACTGAAGAACATCTGATTGTCTGCTGCAGAAACATTCTGCTTTCAACATATAACAGAGTAAGCCCGACTGTGCTGGTTCCCAGCATAGAAGAAACGATGGGGAGAGACAGAACTGCCTGGCACCTAGCTTCAGCCGAGTAGAGCTGGCTTAGCTCTACTGGTTCACTCAGCTGGTGAACTATGCCTGGTTTTCTCTTAACTGTACCATTGTGCCCTCACTTGGCAAAGCAAATCCTCATGCAATAATTTAATCAGGTCTGAGTTTTAATTTTCTTCAAGTCAGAAGCATTGCACTTAAAACTTTGGTGCCATTAAAAAATTAGTTCTCCATACTTACTTGCTGCTTCTATAAATTTGGAATAGGTATCATAGGTGATGACAGGAATGGGTAAGTCTCTGAAATACAGTTTAAGGGCTCCAGTGATGATGTTTATGTCTGGATAGATGTTGGCAGATATATCGGCCTTTTCACCATCTGAAAAACAATCAATGATCCAATTCCTAATTAGGACCTTATTTCACCAAGTGAAAGCATGCCCAGAAAGAAAAAAAAGATCCAACAATGAATGCTCCTTTACAAGTTTCAGCTGACTACTTTGGCTTCTAATAACACTGAGATGCAGGAAGTAACAAAAGAAGTTTGGTGAGAGGGATTTTGGGTCTGACGGTAAGTGCAGCCAAAAAAGTAGTGAAATAGACTTAAAATAGTTCTTTGGGTCCCAGCCCCTGGTAACTTGCTAAATAGAAATCTAGCACAGTAATTTATATTCTGGACACAAAGGTTCATAATAGAATAACAATCTAATTTGAAGTAAAAAAAAATCAAGAATCTCTTATTTAGTATTCTTTGGACTTGGATTTGAAGATCACATACAGAAAATAATGGTTGAATATCTTCAGTTTCTAATGTCTCTTTCAGGCTTACTGAACTTTCTTTTCACTTGATTATTTCTCCCCTAGTCCCTAGGACTTTAATCTGGGAAACTTTAACCTTCCCTCATGTATAGGTAATGTTATATTTCTTACTATTTTTACAATCATTCTGAAGACATTTTTTGACTTTTTGTTTTACCATTAGTAAATACCAGTCCAATTTAATTGCTGCAGTCTATAAAACTTTTTGGATAGAAAAATGTTTCAGTCATATAGGGATTATTAGCATTTTCCTTTATACAGAGAATTGAAAGAACAAATGCCTCAGCAAATTTGGTTCTGAGGATTAAAAAAGCTCGTAATGTACAGAAAACAATAAGAGTGTAGCAGATATGCCATCTGATCCCCTTATTTATGTACTTAACAAATATTTATTGAGAATCTACCATGTGCCAGGCACCATTAAGCCCTAGTGCATCAAAGAAGAAAAGACATACGGTTGTCCCTCAGTATCCAAGGGGGGATTGGTTCCAGGAACTTCCCACTGTGTGGACACCATAATCCAAGGATGCTCAAGTCTCTTATGTAAAATGGCTTAGTATTTGCATATAACCTATGCATATCCTCCAGTATACTTTAAATCATCTCTAGATTACTTACAATACCTAATACAATGTAAATGCTACATAAAGAGTTGCCAGCATGTGGCAAGTTCAAGTTCTGCTTTTTGGAACTTTCTGGAATTCAAAAAAATATTTTTGATCCATGATTGGTTGAATCTACGGATATGGAACCTGCAGATACAGAAGGCCAACTGTACTCCCTTCAAATATAACTCTAGTTAGACTGGGAGTCAGGCCTGCAACTCAACAATTACAAGGAAATAAGAAGACTGCTGTGCTGGAGACATGTGGAAACAAGGGGGTGGGCAGAGGAAAAGGAAATGGAATTCTTAGGTCAGCTTGGGGAGGTTGGGGAGGAGTCATGACAGAGGAAAGACTTGAGCTGACACCTGATGAACAGGTAAGTGCTTGCCAGGCAGCGATGCGAACACATTCTAGATGGACAGAGCAACGTGAGCCCAGGTGCTTGTTCATGAACAGAGGCAGAGTGTATTTCAGCATTGCTGGGGTACAAGGTATACAGACAGGAGGAACTGGCTATGAGCCTGGACAGATAGGGCAGCTAGATCATCAGAGACCTTGTCTACTACTCTGAAGAGTGCAGGTCCTAGCTAGTGGGCTAGACGTTCCATCTCTGATTGGCTGTACCAGAAGTATTTGGATCATTCAACAGATATACAGATTCTTGGGCTCACTCAGCTTCCTGAATGAGTCCCCAGGGTGGGCCCTGGTGATCTGTATTTTTAATAAGTTCCCAAGTTGGCTCATGATATCTGACCTAAGAAAGAATATGGCCTAGAGGACGTATGGCACAGTCACAAAGAACAAAAGGAGTTACCTCCTAAACTTCCCCTACTTTACTGCCAGGGGTACCCCCGTCCCTATGCTCTCTTCTTTGGAGCTTTGGGAGAAGAAATCAAAGGGATCTGAGCTGGAGGATGCAGAAGGTACCCTGGTGCCATGTGAACTGACCATAAATGTTGGGCAACCAAGTCAAGAACCTTAATGGCACCAAATGCTGTCTGATCATTTTCAAGCAGTATTTTAAACTCACTTCTCCATATGGTCAACTGTCCACGACTTTTAAACGAACACTTTCCCCAGAGAAGCAGAGAACTATGATATCTGTAAACTGTTACTCCTTGGCTTCCTAAAGAACAGCTCTCGGTAGCTCTAAAAACCCATTTCCATTATGAGTAAAATCTGGTTCCAAAATGGAGGATGCTAAGGATAAATCATTTGGCACTCAAGAAAGTGCAAGCCTACCTCTGTCAAATGCCATTTTGACATCTTCGATGTGTTCAGTAAACCCGGAAACTCTATAAAGCCCTTCTGACTTTAATCCTGTTAAAAAAAAAGGGACAGACAGATTTTAACTTTGGCTTCCTAAAACATCTAAAAAAGAATCTGATTTGCTATCTACACTGTGTGCTATCAGGAAATGAGCAAATATAGTCAGTGCTCTTATACATTACATACTGTCACGTCAGAACTTGAACTTGCCCATCTCCGTTTCTGTGCAAGTCTGTCTTCATTTGCTTGTGTGGCAGTGGAGACCTCAGCAATCTGGTATTCCTCCTGCCTGGCTTTGCAAAGTGAACCCGTGGTCAAGATTCTCATCAACCGTGGTCTCCTGCTTCCTTTGTTCATCTGAATGTGATTTCACTGCAGCAAACTATTTTCTTCGCAGCATCATCTCAATCCATATGCCATACTGCATGTAGCAGTGTACTAGGTACACAATACAAGTATGCATGTGTGTGGTACATATTATCCTGATTTTACTGGAACTATCCAGATTTTATAGCCTTATATGTTTAATCATAAACATGACAATATGTTAAATGTTTAACTACATATGATTGATTTAATTGGTATACCTTCAAATAAATGATCATACAAACGGATGCAGGAAAATAAAGTTCTACTGAATGATTCTGGAAACTCGATCACTGTATATTTAGTCTAAGAAAAAAGATGTGGGTTCTGCTCCTAGATCTCATTGATTTGTTAAGATATTTCCAAAGTATCAGAAGGGATAGAGGACAAGATTTCAGACCTTTTATGTCAAAAACTAGCTGCTATCAAACTATAGCTACAGCAATAATAAATAAGCAAATAAATAGCTTCTACTGCTGCTGCAGTATACTCTGTCAAACTCCTGATAACTAACATGCATTTCTGTTTTTCACATGTACTATCTGCCATATATAAGGGTTGACATCGGGCCTGCATCAGAGACAACAAATGCATGGCATAAATACTACCCCTCCTCTCTCCTGTGACCAGAGGAGACATTCTTAATTGACCTCAGCTTTTTCTCCCACTGAGCCTCACTCAGTTTCAGAATTCGTCTCAGGACAGTTGTCTAGGATGCCACTACCAATCAACTGAATTGGCCCACAAGATGAGGCCTGGTGTCATCCTGGTCTAGTTGGTGGTGCATGTAAGCATGCTCCAGTCCAGTTGTAACCTGCACTGCAACAGAGGCAAGGACACAGTGGCACAGGGGAGCACAGTGCAGTGGACACTAACACTGCCTTTTGATAGAATAGGCCATGGGGAAGGTCTCACTGAGGAGCTATCTTTAAAGGACATCACGAAGGACAGGCTGGAGTTTGCCAGAGTTAACAGAGGCCGCCAGCTCCCCGCCCAATACTAATTCTCCACTTCCTCTGTTGTGATAAAACCCTTGGTTTTTAGAACAACATCCATCGCAGAGGCCATTAACTCCTGGCCAGTGTGAAGCGAGCAGAAGTGATGTGTATAGTGCCTGGGTCATGGACTTGAAGAGAAAGGGTATGCCCTTTTGCTGTTGGTTGGAATGCAGATGAGACGGTGATAACCATCTGGGACCATGCAGATGAGGGCAGCACTCAAGGATGACAGAGCAACAGCTTGCAGGCAGCTGTTCCTAGGCAGCTGCTCCATGAGCCCTGGGCTGCTGCCGGAGAGAGAGATTTCTATCTTTTTGAAGACACTATTATTTGGGGTCTCTGTGACAGCGTTGAAAGCTATGGGTTAAGTACATTGGTTAGACACACAGATTTGAAGGTGGAGTTAGGGGAGTTGGTCATTCCAAGAAAAAACCAAAAGAAATAACACAGTTGAGTCCTATTATGTTGGGCCCTGTACTAGGTCATTTATATGGATCAACTCATTTTAACCCTCATAACTACCTTAGGAGGTACAACTGATTCTATTACTTTAAAGATGAGAAAATAGATATTCAAATGGAGTAAGTAACTTGCCCAAGGTCATACTATAGCTAATATGAGAAGGGGTTGGGAATCGAACTTCAAGTTCATGATCTTTTCACTCTGCCGTATCATGCAGAAACAAGTGGCGGTAGAAGCATGTGGAGAACAATAAGAAATTTGCTATGGGTGGAAGACAGGGTAAGATGTTGGCAGTGGTGGCAATGAAGCTGGGAATGGCAGCATCACGTGAATTTCTTCCAGCCCATCCTCTGGTTCTGCTCACATGCACAGGCCCCTAATGCCTGTAGCTCCAGTCCCTTTGCTGTGACTTCCGTATAAATTCCTCACTTGTGCTATTCTAGCTCTTGTACTAGACATGCTTAGTGCTGTGCTCCCCGTGGACACATTAAGACACCAGATGTGGTAGTAACTTTGCCCAAATTATTAGTAGTCTCTGATGAGGATCCCTATGGGATGATCCCAGCTGCTTCAGAGAAGCACAAGTCCTGATTGCAGGCTCTGGAGAGGCTGATGATCTGACCCTTTGGGGTCGCAGAGTCCTCTAAACAGCAGGACCCAGGGCTGCTCTTCCCAGCCACTCACCCAGAGTCAGGGCACCCCCCTCAACTCATACTCAGCTCAGCCCCTGCATCAACAGCTTCACCAGATTCCAAAGCTCCCATTCAGCTCTGACAGACACAAGCAGTCAAAAGGCAGGAGGCATTTCTTACAATTTGAGATGAAATGAGCAAGTCTTAAGGGAACAGAAGAGCTATCGTTTTCATCCTGTATGGAAGAGGGAATAATTTCCTATCTCTAAAAGGTATGGGATAACAAGTTACAATATCCTCTTTTGTTTTGTTTTGGGAATAATGGGATGGTTGGCAAATGCATAAATACCTGTAGAATATATTAAGCCAGTTTGGACACAATGATGGATACCAACTATAGCAGGGTAAATACATGGCAACAATGGTAAAAGCCTTTCCAATTATCCAAATTACATCCAACAATCCAGTTCTCCCTAACCAGACTCTATCCACCATATCACTGAACATTTTGATACTGAAAAGTGGCCAAAGCACAAATAAAGGAAAGATGACTCAAGCACAATATAAAGAATCTCTTCTTTGAAATGTTTCTATCTTCCTTGCCTTCTCAATTTTCAATGAATAGATATTTTCAATTTTTTAACTCTCCTCTTTGAAATAAAAAGAACCAATACTAGGAGTGAATTTCTATATGGTAGAAAATATATGTGTTGACCAAAAATTTCTTTACTTATTTAATAGAAGCACTTTCAAGGACTCGATTCAAACCTCACCTCTGCCATAAACCCTTTCTGAACTCCCCTCAGATAAGATTAAAACGTTTTCCTCTGTGACTCCGTGGTTTTTTTAAATAGTGTTTTGAATATATGTACTCACAGCATTTATTTATTTGCCCCTAACCCCCAATTCTGCATATTATGCTATGAATTTCCTGAAGGTGTGAACTGTGACTTTTATATCCCCAGTGTGTAGCACATGATAAATGCTTAGCAAGTGTGTGTTAAATGCATACATGCATGATTTATGTATGACACAGAAATTGATGTCGTTGGTTGGATTTAGCATGTGTGCACGCGTGCACACGTGCATGGGCCTGGGCAGACCATTTCCCCAAGATCAGTACTGGAGAGTCATTAACAATTATAAGAAAGTCTCCTTGACAACAGTAAAAATAAAATCACTATAATAAGCAGGAGTTTTTTTTTTTCCAAACCTCTTGCTTCAATTTCCCGAATGCATATGTCTACCACCATGGGTCTCTGCATGTTGTGAGCCTTCACGAGTGTTGTCAGGTCACAACAGTACACCTTCTTGATCCTCTTGAGATCAGGTTGGCAGTCATTGGGAACATGCTTGGAACACTGTTTGTGTACGTTCAATCCACAGTCTGTAAACAAAGAAGCCACATTAAGCTTGCCTGGCCCTTTTGTCAAAGCTCAACACAAATTATATGTTACCAAAAATAAAAATGAAAACACCCAGAGTTTGCTGTATCTCTCTGAAACATCCATCCCACTTAGAGGTGATGCTGTCCACAAGATGAGTATGAAATCTATCTTTACTCATGAAACTTATATAATTCCATTTTTCTCAGTAAGCCTTCTCTGTGGCTGGACCATAAGAATAGAACATCTCATGGAGATAGTTTTGGTAATTAGCCAGGTTGTTTGTATGTTTTTTTTCCCTTTTGGAACTGGAAACTTTGGGTCCATATGAGGGCTTTTGGGTTTGAATTCCCAGAGCAAATTGTGTCTCATAAAGGGCACCTAGGACTTTTGCTAGGTTGTTTCCCTTAAGTTCGTGACACTCCTTTTACGGAAGACATGATGACTGTCTCTGTAGGAATCTCTAATCTTCGGTCTGAGAGACCCATGACCATTGGCATCTTCTTTCGCATTCCTGGAGAGTTGCCCATACTTTCCACTCCTGTCCTCCTTGCTGGGCAGTTTCAGTAGGCCGTTCTCTTTTCTACTTGCCTTATTTTGATACCTGTTGAGTGGAAATACTGTCTAACTGGCCACCGGTGGGAGTACCCGAGAGTTTACAATTTAGAACAATGCCATGTAATGTGATGATAAGACTAATTATTTATAAAGCTCATATCAAGATCCAAAGCTGAAAAGGTGCTTTTAAGTTCAATGTGCACATTAAAAGCCTTATTAGCAGTTGGTATCCACTGATGGAATCTCTCTAACAATAACAAGGCACAGTCTACGTTCTGGAAAATAAAAATTTAATGCTGAAGATGTTCAAAGTTGATTTGGTATCTATTCAAAGTACCTTCTAATACTGACTGTTTTTATAGGTGTAAAGAATAATAATATCATTTTTATATTTTATATACATATTATACACACATGATAATGAATACTGTAATCAGTTGCTTTAAATAAAAGCACTTAACTACACCAAGGATTTGAGAGGATCTAAAACTTTTGTAAAATCATCAGAAAACGATTTTTGTCATTACATGATTTTCATGTCATGTTTACCGGCTGAGTTCTCTGTCTATCCCCCTCCAAAGACAAAACCAGTTCTAATTATCTTAGCTTTATCAACATGAGAAATTCAGCAAAGCTCAAGTAAACTTCAATAACATTTGATAGATCTATTTAGTGAATACAGATGCTGGTGAACTGAACTAAATAGAATAGGCTGGTTTTCTTGTTTGGATATAATAGCACCTACTCCTAGGGTTATCATGAGGATCAAACAAAATAATATATGTGAAGTCTGAAGTGTGGGAACACTACATGAGTGTTAGAAGAAATAGCACATACGGTGATAGAAAATATAAGGATACCTGCCCGGCTATTCTTAAGTTATTTCATTAGTCATTTTTACTCACTGAATTCTTACAAACGTCATTTAAAACATTTTTTTTAGAAATGTGGTAAAATATACGTAAAATTCACCATTTTAGCCATTTTAAGTGTACAGTTTAGTGGCGTTAGGTACCTTCCCACTGTGTGCAGCCACCACCACCCATCTCCAAAGCTTTTTGCATCTTTCAAAGCTGAAACTTTGTACCCATAAAACAGTAACTCCCTGGACCCTCTTCCCCTCGGCCCCTGGCAACCACATTCTGCCTTCTGCGTCTATGACTGTGACTATTTTAGATGCCTCATAGAAGTGGAATCATACAGTATTTGTCCTTTTGTGACGGGCTTATTTCACTTAGCATAGTGTCCTTAAGGTTCATTCATATTGTAGCCCACGACAGAATTTCCTGAAGAACATTCCATTTAAAGGCTGAATAATATTCCATTTTATGTATATACCACATTTTGTTTATCCATTCATCCACTGATGGATACTTGGGTTGTTTCTACCTTTTGGCTGTTGTGAACAATGTTGCTATCAACGTGGGTGTACAAAGATCTATCTGTTCCTTTCAGTTCTTTTGGGTATATACCCAGAAGTGGACTTGCTGGATTATAGGATAATTCTATTTTTAATTTCTTTATAAACTTCATTTTAAGGTCTGAAATGACAGTGTTTTTATGTAGAGTTAAATACTGATATTTTATTAATATGAAGATGTTTTCTAACAAGTATAAAAATATTCAGTTTTTGCAAACGAATACAATTCTATATGCTATAAAGTCTAGTTAATTTAAAAAAATATTTAAATTATGTAAAATATGGAGAGTTGAGAGGTAATGATGGATATTCCAAACATTTAATGATCAGTTTTCAGTTCTCCTGCTGCTCAGAGGAAGTATGAGGTTAAACAGTGGCCGTTGGAGAATAGTAACATAGCTTAGAATTATTGTTTTATTAAAAAAAAAAAAACAAACACAGAAAAAAAACCCCCAAAACCCCAAACTCTCTTATCCCAGAGCAAGTTGCTGTTCACAGCTAATCTGAATCCCAGAGTTTTGTTCTCATAATATTGACTTTGGACCAGTCCTGCTGAAATTGGATAATAGAAGCAATTAGGGATATTTTTGGTAGGTATAATCTGAACAGGTTGAACTAATGACCACTGAGTAATTCAGATATTCCACCAGTTTTCTCAGTGGTTGAACTGTGAGATACTTTGTAACTTTTGTGGTAATCAGGGTACCTAGATCATTTCTGGAGAGTCTGCCTCCAAACCTACATTTACTGCTTGCCTCATGGATCTGGGATGGGGGCAGGTAGAGGAACTGACATACACGAGCACTCCTGGACCCGTCCAGGTATCACCACAGGTGATTGCTGTATCTATATAGTAGAAGCTGAAATAGCCCTTTCCAGGCAGAGAAAGGATTTAAGGTCCCATGATCCTGTGAACCAAAATAGGCAGTATGGGGAAATAGATCATCATTTTTCATTTTTAGTTTTTAAATTTTTATTGAAGTATATGGTTGATTTACAGTGTTGTGTTAGTTTCAGGTATACAGCAAAGTGATCAGTTATGTATCTATCTTTTTCAGATTCTTTTCCCATATAGGTTATTACAAAATATTGAGTAGAGTTCTCTGTGCTATACAGTAGGTCCTTGTTGTTTATCTATTTTACATATAGTAGTGTGTATATGTTGCTCCCAAATTCCTAATTTATTTCCCCCACCACCCTTCCCCTTTGGTAAACGTAAGTTTGTTTTCTATGTCTGTGAGTCTGTTTCTTTTGGTAAATAAGTTCATTTGTAGGAAACAGATCATCTTAATGTAGTGTCATTAGCTTATTTCAAAAGCTTCATAAGAATTATTTTTTAAAATCACACCCTAGCAAGAAAGAAATCAGTCATGCTGTCAGTGGAAACCCAGTCAATGTATCACAGGAGGCTATTCTTGCTTCCGGCCGGAACTGTTTGCCAGAAAAAGCATGGCATGATGAATTAGGAAGCCTGGTTACACATTAATTTGGCAGTTCTTTGCTGTTTTGTTAGATGTATCTTAATAAGATGTGCTGTGTGCTCTTAGCAATGGGTGTGCGTGTCTAGTTCTAGGTGGAAAAACACCTAGGGTTTCAAAGTACTTTGAAAATATGTGATATCAAATCAAGGTGTGTATTTTCACTGCTAATCTGATGGCAGAAAAATACTGGGCATGATGGGCTCTGGAGCCAAATCAATGTTCCACCACTTACTATGTGGCCAGGGGCAATTAATGATTATCAGTAAGGCTCAGTTTCTTCATCTATTTAATGGGGAGAATAATTGCATCTCCCCGAAGGTTCACTGGTGAGGCTAAATGGCATGATAAATAGAAGATGGGAAAGCAGTGTAACTTTTCTATCTATGCAATTCCATTGGAATTGATTTAGTTTTTTCTTTTAAGGACAGCTACCTAGTTTGGATGGCAGGTAGGTGCCTAAGAAAATATACTCCCCTGGATTTTTTTCTTTTCTTGTATAAACAGAGGTATTCCTTTTCATTCTAGCAAACACCTAGAGGAGTTTCTCCATTAAGCACAGAGATGCCTTGAATCTTCCAGAAAGCTAGACTTCTGAGCTAATCTGGGCCTATTTCCCCTCTCTGGAGAGACGCCCTCCAGCTCATCGTTGCGGCGCTCGATGTTAATGGGAAAGGAGAAGGGAAGCTCCGTGCCTACCTGAGCATCGGACTCCTTGGGCAATAAGCCCCCACATGAAGTTGGCGCAGTATTCACACCAGTGAGGGCCTCGGAACGTGTGGACCTGCGAGCCAAGATGGAGAAAAGTGTTAGAGAAGTCAGTCACCTGGAGGTAGGTGCCCTTGGACATGAAATGAAAAGACGCCAAGGAACAAAGGCCTGAGTGGGAGTGAGCATCCCTCACTGGGCGTTTTCTTTCCAGTGGGGATGAGTTGCGAACAAACCTGGAAAAAACAGAGATGTGCTTTGATTTTTGAAAATCCTCCACTGAGCCTCCATGCCCCACACCAGAGCCAGAAAGGAATGTGGAGAAACAGTAAGAGGACAGGGCCATGCCATCAGCAAAGGAATGAGACTCTCCCTACCCCAAACAAGGCACTGTATGGAAAAACCCAAGAGAGCCTGAGCTGGTTGCTATAACCTGCATTTAGCTCAGCAAGTTCTGGAAGGCAGACCTCAGTTACTGTGGCCTTTTGACCAAAGTTGCCCTATCTATAGAATATCCAGGTAGGTATAAATAAGACATGACAATGGGAAAATTAGAAGGTTCCAAGGCTTTAAGCCACTTTCAGAAAAGGCATTTAAAAAGTGAGGGAGTTGGCTGAAAATGAAGGCTACCAATAGGGTCTATAGAATTGCCTTTCCCAGAGAGGTGTGGCCTCTGGGTGTGTGTAGGTTGAAAGTCCCTTATGATTGGCCAAGGTGCCAGTCTCATCGGTTGGTGGCCAAGTCAGTTGTTAAATATTTTGAACATCATGAAGTAAGGATGGTCTTATCTCTCATTATTCAGGTATGGGTCCACCTGTGACAGGACCATGTATTAAGTCATGATTTAAAACAAAAATAAAAGAAAACAAAAATACATGTTCCCTGGCATCAGTGAGCTACAAGAAGCAGAGCTAGGGGAATCCTTGAAAGCAAATGTGGTTGAAGTAAGACAGAAACCATCACAGGCAGTCTATTTGGGGGCACATCAATCTATGTGAAGAGGTCTTAAATTTTTACAAAATTAAAATATTATGAGACTGTGTGGCTCATATAAGGACCTTCAAAGTTTTAAACCTCCATTAACAAATAAAAGACATGCAGACAATATTATTCTTTTAAGAGACTGGAAGGCCTGTACAGGCCTGTATAGTCAGGATGACAACTACGGTCACAATTTGGGAAGATGTCCATCAGAGCTCTACTTAAGAAAAAATGGCATCACTTTGAGATCTTTATTTATTTATATATACTAGTAATTGGGTATACATAAAGTGACAGATGAAACAAGCTTGATTCCCTCCTAATGGCACTCACAGATTTGTCAAGGCAGAGAAAGTAGTCAATCAACCCATCAAAAAGAGCAACTTCTGACCACGGTTTCTATGCAATAAAACTAAGTTATAATAGTCTTTTGGTATTTCAGTTTGTTACATGCAAACTGCCCCCCTTATACTATTTCTCCTTTGAAAAATGATGGGGGGAAAAAAAAACCCTCTCAGAATTATTTTTACTAAAATGGAGAATCGTGCTGCAAGGAAATGACACTAAGATATGACAAAGCACCCCTTGCTGGAATGCAGAGAATCCATCCGAGGGAGCACTTGAATTCTCCCAGAGCCAAAATGCCATGATTCATTGAAAGGCCCATTCACATTAAATGTGGTACTAAAAGAATTCCTCAGTAAAGTGTCCTACTGAAAGCTGAACATTTTACAAATTCAGCAATCAAAGGTTTCTTAATATTTTGCTAGAAGTGTTCTAAAGGGACTGCTGATTAATCATGGCAACAAAGTTGATTGCTAATATACTGTTGAAACTGCAAAGTCGATAAAATAATACGTAAATAATATATCTCAAAAAAAAAAGAGAGAGAAAAGGTGCGGAAAGGGCTATAAAAGAAAAAATGAGGGCTTCCCAGGTGGCGCAGGGGTTGAGAGTCCGCCTGCCGATGCAGGGGACACGGGTTCGTGCCCCGGTCCGGGAAGATCCCACATGCCGCGGAACGGCTGGGCCCGTGAGCCGTGGCCGCTGAGCCTGCGCGTCCGGAGCCTGTGCTCCGCAACGGGAGAGGCCACAACAGTGAGAGGCCCCCGGACCGCACAAAAAAAAAAAAAAAAAAAAAAAAGAAAGAAAAAAATGAGGCTGTTACTAGAGAGATTTAAGAAAGGCCCCTGTGTTATCCATGAGTGTCAAGAAGTCATCTTTTGAAAGGTGACCTCAAGCTGCTTGAAAGAAGAGAAGGAGCCAGTCTGGTGGGGGCATTGAGGCGTGCATTTCAGGCAGAAGGAATCTACGCAGGTCCTGCAGGAGCAAAAGAGCTTGGTGTGACTGAGGGACTAGAAGGCCAGGGTGGCCAGAACACCAGAGTGAGGGGGAGAGAAATTGGGATGAGGTTGAAGGTAGGACAGGGCCTTGAAGGCTTTATTAACGAGTGCGGATTTGGTTGTAATCTAGGTCCAATAGGAAGTTCTTGAAGGACTTCAAGTAGGAAGATGATTTTTTTAAAAAAGATGTTCTGACCGCTGGGTTGAAAATGGAAGCGAGAGTGTTAATGGCAGAAAAGATTCAGGAACTGGGTAGTGGTTTCTAGTTGGGAAATGATAGAGGCCATGACCAGGATGTTGGAGGAAGAGACAGAAAGTGAATGGATTTGAGTTCTCTCTTGAAGATTGAATTTAAAGGACCTGACAGTAGAATAAATGTGGGTATTTGAAGGAGAGAGGACTCAACAGTGACGCCTAGATTCTAGCTTTAGAAACCGGGTGGATAGTGATGCCACTTGCTGAGATATGGAAGACATTCTTTTGGGAGAAATTCAAGAATTCAGTTTTGAGCAGTTTAAGTTAAAATGCTGCTGAGATTCCAAGTTTTATGGTCAAGCAGGAATTCACACACAATTCAATAACTCAGAGGAGGAGTGGAACTGGAGGTGTACATTTGGCCATCCGTGACAAGTAAATGGTATTTAAAATCGTGTGAATGGAATAAAAAAAACCTATTAGCAATAGAGAATAGAAAATGAGGAAAACAGAGCTCAATTCCAAGCCCATGGTGCTCCAACATTTGGAGAGAACCAAGAGAGTAAACCGTTTCAGTAGTTAAGAGGTGAAGCGTGTTTTAGGGAAGGAGTGGCCAACCAGGTTGAGTGCTGGAAAGAGGTCCAGTTAAATGAGGGCTGAACTGTGATTCAGACACATGGAAGTCACTGGCAACCTTGGCAAGAGCAGTCTCTGGATTGTTGAGGGCAGAAGTCATACTCGAGGGAACTGAAGGATAACTGGGAGGCACGGAAGTAGAGAAATGTGTAGGCAAATTCGTCAAAAAGTTTGGTGGTGATGTCCAGCAGAGCAACAAAGATAGCTCCAGGGAGATATGGGGTGGGCCCTGGGAGGTTTTTTTTTTTTTTTTAAATAAAAGATGGGAGACATTAGGTCATGTTGACTTGTCAATGAGATTGATACAATAGGTAGAAGAGACTGGAGATGCAGAAGAGAGAGAAGCAAAGGAGTGATGATCCTGAAAAGCTGAGAGATGATGGGGTTAAGGGCATATATGGAAGCGATATTCAAAAAGAGAAACAGTTGAGATCTTTCCAGAATTGCTAAAAGACACAAAACCCTCAGATTAAGAAAAGCTAAATGAGCCTCAAACCTGATGAATAAAAAATAATTTAGACCTATACAGATTAGAGTGAAAGTGCAGAATACCAAAGAGACAAGCAAAATCCTGAAAAAACAGGTTACCTGTGAAAGGACAGCAATTAGGATGAAAACAGACTTCTCCTCAGCAAAAAAGAGACAAGTAGATTACAGATTTCATCAAAGTGCTCAGAGAAAATTACTGCCAACCTAACTTCTATACATAGCTAATTACCATTCAAAAGCAAGGGTGAAATAAAGATATTCAGGTCCTCACTCAAAGATACACTTAGGGATAATATAGTTCTGTAAGAAGCACATTGAACCTAGTGGGAAAGGACAGGATTCAAGAAGCCAGGGTGAGCAAGAAAACTGGGAAACACAGGCCAATCTAATCAAGTCTGTTTATGAAACAATAACAAGATGACTAATTTCAGAGGACTGAAAAACAGGGTGAAAAAAAGGATATGGAAGATTCAAACAGTAAAACAAAGAAACAAAAAAGCTTACTGTAGAATATAATGAAATAGAAAGAAAAATAAAAGAAAAAGGATTAAAAAAACTAACGTGATTTTTAAAAAGATTCATAAGATAGGCAAACCTTGGGCAATTGATCAAGAAAAAAGGCACAAACAATAAAAGAGAGGACATGAATGCAGATGCAGTAATGATATAAAACAAAAACCTTGAGAATGCTTTCTACCCACAAAATTAAAAGTTATATGAAATGGATGATTTTCTTAAAGAATATAAATTATCAAAATGACTCAAAATAATATGGAAAGCCTAAATTCAATTATACCCATTAAATAATTAAATCTGCAGTAAAACATCTACCCTCAAATAGTCATTGATCCCAAATGATCTTATTAGGTTTAATCGAATTTTTAAAAAACAGTCTCTAGCCAATACAGACTACTGCAGAGAGGAAAAAAAAGAAAAGCTCCACAATTCACTTAATGAAGCTAATGTAATCTTGATTCAAAAACCATACAAGAATGGTACATAAAAGTAAAATTATACATCAATTTCAATTATGAACATAAATATAAAAATCCTACTGAGTGTAGCATTATATTTAAATGTCATGACCGAGGAGGGTTTATTTCAGGGATTTAAGGTAGTTGACATATTACTAGAATTCATAACAATAATAAAACAAGAGAGAGAAACCACATAATCATTAAAAAAAGTAGAATACCAACAGTTAATAAAATTCAACACCTGTTCATAGTAATAGCTATTAGCATACTAGAAATAGAGGGAACTCTCCTAAAAATGGTTGATTAAAGATATCTATGATACACATATAATAAACATCACATTTAAAGATAAAACATTAGAATAATTTCCTTTAGAGTCAGCAGAAAGAAAAGGCTGCCTGCTATAAGTGCTTCTCTTGGGCATTATCCTTCAGAGTTTTAGCCAGCATAATAAAACAAGACAACGAAATACATCATATATGGCTGGAAGAAAGAACAAGGCCAGCAAGTTTACTTAATATAAGAGCAATAAGAAGAAATCAGTAGCATCGTTATACATCAGCAATAACTCATTTTGTTAAATCATAAAAATTAAAGACTTCATTCACAGCATCAGCAATAATCTAAAATAATTATAAAAAAATTAATGACATAAGTAAGGAGATATTCTATATTCATGTATGGCAACGTTCGATACTGTAAATATATCAATTATCCTCCAAATGAACCTTTAAATTCAATGCAATTTCAAGCAAAGTCTCCATGGTGCTTTTCACAAAACTTGACAAGATGGCCCTACAATCTATATGGAAGAATAGAGCAGAAAGAAATAGCGACGATAATTTTGAATAAGAACATAAGAAAACACATCCGACTGTATATCAAGACATATAGTTTAAAAAAAAAAAGTAAAACACCACGCAGGATGGACAAACAGACCAGTGGCACAGAGTGGAAAGATCAGAAACCAAATCACACGTATATGGATACTTGGTATATCTCAGAAATGGCATTACAAATTGGTGGGGGAAGGATGTCAGAGAGGGGAACTATTTCCTAGTTCATCCACCCATTCACCCACTCATTATTCACTCATTTATTCAATACTTACATGCTGATTGCCTATTTTTAACCTGGCACTATACTAGTCCTTGGATAACAAAGTCAAAATAGAGCAGGGGAGCAAAACCTTCCTGCACTCAAGGATCTCATCTACAAGAATAAACAGGCAACATAAATAATTATCCTATGGTAGGATACTGGAGAGAATAAATAAATTCTTCCTGAGAAGGCTGGGGAAAGAGATATTTGAACTGGGTTTTTGAAGGATGGATAGGAGTTCACTAGACTGGGAAAGATTAGGCTGATGGGGAGCTGATGATGTTGACCTGGAGAGGCAGATACTCGGGGAGAACATTCCAAGAAGAGGAAACAGCACAACCAAAGGCCAGTGAAGGTGGGTTTGGCTTTTTAAAGGCATTCTTTTCGTGTAGGTCATGCAAAAAAAAAAAAGGAGTGGCAAAATTCTTATCTGGAACATCTCCAATGGATGAAGAAATCACATGGGAAATAACATGCCTTGGGGTAAAAATAAAAATGCGATATTTAGGAATTAGGAGAGTAGCTACAGTGTTTACCATACATTGACAAAATGGAAACTGGTCTACCGGATGCTTCAGGAAATACAGGATACGCTAATCACAGATTTTCTAAAATTTCACTTCTTGCCATATTTTAAAAAATAATTAAGCATATCAAGATTGCATTTAATGCTTATTAGCTCTGCTCATATTTACCAACAACCTTTCCCATCAGTGTTTCCCCACTGCCTTCCATCTCATTTCTTCAGCCAAACAAATGCAGGCAGACATTTCTGAATAGCAAATAGCTCCACTTATTGTCCCGACAAATACACATTCCCCAGAAATATGGCAAAATGGGGACACAAGGGAATGTAAAGTTAGTTAAACATTATTTTAGGTCCACTGCCTAATTTCCGCTTTGTGATGCGACGTTGTTTATTTTCACGGCCGATATATCGTTCGATTTTCTTTTGGGTTCACAAGGACAATCTCTAGACAAGAGGCTATATGTAAATGCTGAGGGTACACTCTCTGGATCCATTTTATTTCGGATTGAGTTATTATGTTTACTCCCCCAATGAAATGCCCCATATCTTGAAAAGTCACTGATCAGTTTTTTCCATTCTCTGAAGTTTATTGATTTTCAAGAGTATCTTTTCAGAAAAAAGAACATTTTGCAAACTTTAGGGCAGTAACTAAAATACCCCAGACAGGAAGAAAATACCCCAGACAGGAAGAATGTCTGTCCAAGACTATTATACTGGGCCTGGTCTGCCTGGAATTCAAAAACCACACCAAACAGAAAAAGATGATATTACAGGAGATAAAGTCTGTTTGACAAATAGCCCAGGAATAGCCACTTAGGAAAAACAAGAGCAAGAAGAGTTGTCAAGAAAAATCTCAGGCGTTTAGCAGGTATCCCCCAACTTGACTCTTTCTAAGCGAGCAGGATGTTATTTGTCTCACATCTGCTGAATCTGGAGAGCAGTATTCTCTGGTGGTTTCATAACAAATATGTTTTGATGGGTCAGTGTAGACACCGCCCAAGTGTATAATCAGCTCAGCCCAGGTTCTAGACCATAAGAAACAGAAAGTGCTATTTATGATGTGCTACAGTTGAGAAATTTTGCTTTTCCTTATTAGTATACATCAGCGTTTCTCAACCTTGGCACTATTGACATTTGGGGCTGGATAAGCCCTTGCGCATTGTAGGATAGTTAGCATTATCCCTGTCCTTTACCCACTAGATGCCAGTAGCAACCTCTCAGCTGGAACAACCACAAATGTCTCCAGATATTGCCCAATATGCTCTTGGGGACAAAGTAACCTCGATAGAGAGTCACGGGTATAGACTAAAACCACATCACCTCAGTTTGTCATTTTTATTAGTCCTATTAAAATGAGAACTTTACTCTTTTACTTTGATATGCAAAGGACTCTGGATCAAAGGCAATTTTTTCTTAGCTGCTTTCTATGCAGAGAAGAAGGGGCTGGAGATGGCTAAAGTCATTTTCAGCTACAAGTCTCTGGGTTTGGCGCTCATCTAGTCTGGCTTTTGCCCAGTTACCTGGGCGGCTGGAGGACAGGTGGCGTGTCCACGGTCACCCAGATGGTCAGCAGCACTTGGCCTCCTGATCTCAGCCAAGGGTTTTTCCTATAATCGACTGCATTTCCCATCATCATGTGACACTGAACTTGTGTGAGAAATTAGGTTAAACTTTGGACTTTTCCCTCTTGCAAGATCAGATG